CAGCCGGGGTGCCGCGAGTCTGGCCAAGGCCGCGTCTGGTCGTGTTTATCCCGGAAAAGCAAACTTTTTCTCAAATTAAAAATCTGTCAGCAAATCAAATTCTAGAGAAGCGAACGCTGCCGGCCGCCGGCAGAGGCCCCATCCACGGTGGGCGCAGTCGGTGCTGCGTGCGTTGAGGTTTTATTTTTCCTGCTGGGCTTGTAAACATCGATCTGTATTTTCTTCTACAAACCTGCCGTGCTGTTCTGATTACAGATTGCAGGATGCCCTGAAGTGTGGGTCGATTTCAGTCACTTGGTATCGTAATTTGCTTGGAAACTGTTCACTTGCTCACTGTAGAAAACACTGGAAGTGCCTCCTTTCTAGAACGCCCAGGGTTTTGTTTTCAAGGCGAGATGCTTGCTGCGCCTGCGGTGGGACCCTAAGGGCTGCGTCCGGCCGTGGGCGGCGTTTTGTCCATTTTGTCCTTGGCACTGCGACTGCGGGCCAGGGCCCGGGACAGCTCTCCCCGTGGGCGGCCTGGTATCCAGCCGGGGCTGGTGTGAAGGACCAGGCATCGCTTTTGTCACGAACAAGAAGGTCGGCTGCACTGGATTCTCGGGAGGAACATCCCGGTTGCTCAGGGCTCACGGTGCTGCTCCCCGGAAGGGGGCTGGGCCGCTCCCGGGACCCGCCGCACACCCCACGCCTGGTGGGTCGGAGCGTCTGTCTGTCTGTCGTCTGCCAAGCCTCTGTCCGTTCACCCACCTGTTTTTCAGTAGAACAGGAAGTTCACTTGGCGGAGCCTGGACACGGATGTGCTCTACGTGGTGCTGGGGCTGTGGGCCAGGCTCGGGTCGAGGTGGGACTGTAAACCGCACGCTCACCTGCAAACATTTATGCAAATGCAATGTTCTTCTGCTGTATGGGATCCGATGAAAAGGGCTCTGTGGGTCTTCCTATAGATATTTATTGCTGTGCTTCAGGAGAAAAATAATCTACCAAAGCAACTTTTTGTGCAAATGTTGAGATTGATTCGGTTTTGGTTGGGGGGTCGTTTGAATTCTGTGTACAGACAACTGTGCGAGGAGCGAGGTGTCTGCTCCTTCTACTGATGCTTTAGTATTTTTCATACAAAAGCAATGGCTGCAGAGAAGGTCAAATCCATCCTTAATGCTGAGGTTTTAAGAAATAAAAGTATCATTTATATTGTCCTTGGTCGTTGGCCTGTCATTGGTGCCACGTGAAGGTCACTGCTCACTCACCTCAGGCCTGGAGCCAACGGCCGCCTCTCCACACGTAAACCCTGTTTTAAATGCAAACTACGTGCAGATGTTTCATAATCCATGACCGACGTGGACCTGAGCTCCTGGTGTGAGCTGCCTCGCTGCTGTCTGCGAGGCGGGTCTGTGTGGGGCTGCGGGGTTTTGAATCAGTTGTTCCGTGATTTGGAGACTGAGCTGCCTCCCAGCTCCAGCTGAGAAACAAGAACATCCCAGTCAGGTGTCCTGCCACAGCAGAGGCCGGGGCGGAGCTGGGGGAGGGGGGTGGACCCTGCGGGGATTGGAGAGTTGTGGAGCCGTTTCCATGACAACAGTGGCATCTCTAGGAACCTAGTGTGCCCCTGTGAAAGGAGTGGGAGCTAGGAAAGCTGCAGGGGGCGCCAACCAGAGACGCCTCCCTGAGCAGCCTCCTCTGGGCACTGACTTCCCACCCCTGCCAGCTGCCCAGGTCGCTGGCCAAGCTGCCCCTGGAGTCGCTGTCCTGGTCCCTGAAGCAGGGAGAGCCTGTGGGGACCCCCGCGGCTCCCAGGCAGGAGCTCTGACTCACCAGGAGGAGCCTGCGTCTCGCTTTGCCCTCCGCCCTCTGCCTGCAGCTCTGAGGGGCTGGGACAACTATTTCAATGAAAAGTACCATGTCAGCGTGCAGGAGGCAGTGGTCAACGACTCTCATCATTGATGTTTCCATGTCTCTCTTCCTCTCTATAATAAAAATACATTTAAAATAAATACTATTTCAGCCCACCAGGCGTGGCTCAGGGGTTGAGCGTGGACCTGTGAACCGGGAGGTCATGGCTGATTCCCGCCAGGGCACATGCTGCGGGCTCGACCCCGGGTGTGTGTGTGTGTGTGCGCGCGCGCGCGCGCACATGCAGGAGGCAGCGACCAATGATCCGCTTCACTGATGCTTCTCTCTCCCGCCGCCCCCTCTCTGAAGTCAGTTTTAACAATGCAGCTTAGATAATGTAATGTTTTCAAGAAAGCTGACCAACCAGGCAGGGAGTGACAGGAGAGGCCACTGGCCTTGAGGTTTTGAGGATGATTTGTTTCTTTAGAGACCAGGGCTTCAAAGGGCTTCCCTGGCTGTGGCTGTGGCGGTGGCGGTGGCCACAGGCGCCAGGAACCCTGATCCCTGAGCCTTCAAAGCGCAGCAGCGGAAGCCTGAGAGCCAGGGAACCAGGGGGGCCAGGGCGGGGCCAGAGTGCAGCAACCCGAGGCGGTCCAATCTGAGTCACTGTTCCACGGAGACGTGGACTCCCAGGGTGAGGGCAGGGCGCTGCCTGACATGCACTGTCTCCCGGTGTATGTTTGAAGGAGGGAGATAGAGACGATGCTGCCGGCCCCCGACCCTCGTGACTCACAGATGAACACGCGGCAATGTTCACCCTGGCCGCTGGGCAGCCAGGTTACAGGTGACTTTATGCTATACACCTATACACGTTTTCTAAAGTGGACTTGCGTTATTTTTAAAATAAAACCATCTTTTAAAGGTTTCAAAGGCTTAAGTAAGTATGAAACCACTCACTACAGTTCTCAGTCAGGGCAAGCCTGAGGAGTGTCAGCAAACACGGTTTATTGTCTGTAAAGCAGTTTCCACACACACGTCAGGCTGCCCCGCTGCCGCTCGTCATGTCGCCCGTCCCTCCAGGGCTCCGGGGACACCAGACGCCGGCGTCTGTCCCAGGGCAGCACGGTGCGTGGCCGGGGCTGTGGCTGGAGGGCGGCCACGCCACTCACACCTCTGCTGGTCACAGACACTTTGCACAATTCACAACTCAATCGCCAAACACCAGGACGGACACACAAATATTCCCCTAGGTCATTTGGTCACAACCAGTGTGGTTAAAATACATCTTATGAAAAATAAATATTCTGCACAAGGTATTTACACGGAATGCTGGTCCCCCCCCGCCACGCAAAACCTGGAGACAAGTGACCATCAAGCGTGTCACTGATTGGTGTCAGCTCAGCACAGCGTGTGGCGCTCAAAACTCAGGGCCCTTCGGAACCGTATTTGTTAGGAGGCAAAGTTGCAAATTTTCCAATGCTCAGAAGAATGTAAGTTCTTAGAGGAGGCGGAAATGACTTCACTGGGTTCCCTGACCCTTCAAAGGTGAACACACACAGCGCGGCGTCCCCGCCGGAGCAGGAAGCTGCCAGCGGCTCGGCTGGGCAGCACGCGGTCACAGAGGATGCTGGGCTCGGAGGCTGACACGTCGTGGGGAAGGGCCTCAGAACTTGAAGAGGTCGATGAAGTGCTGTGGGGACACGGGCGTGAAGCAGCTGTCGGGGTCGGTGGCCGTGCAGGGGTGTCCCGAGTCCTGCGGGAGGAGGCGAGGGTGACACAGGTCGGTTACCAGCTGCCTAAGCATCCCAAACCCGTCTCTTAAGCCATGAGAGCATGACACCGGCACACCCGTGGTCTCAGCGCAGAAACCTCCTGCTCCCGTGCTGGACGGACAGCGACCCCTGAGCTGGCCTGAGCTGGCCCTGCTCAGAGAAGAAACCTCCTGCTCCCGTGCTGGACGGACAGCGACCCGAGCTGGCCTGAGCTGGCCCTGCTCAGAGAAGACCCCAGGTTTCTGCCGCCCTCCTCCAGCCATGCTACCAACTACGCCCATGCTCCCCATGACCATGCCCACGCTCCCCTGGGCCACGTCCTCGCTCCCCTGGACCACGCCCACGCCCCTGACCACGCCCACACTCCGGGATTGTACTTAACAGGAAAAGTGGGTTTTGTGTGAAAGGACTGAGGAACTTGAGAGAACGAGTGGCCTGAACGTTACAGCCGGCGCATTCGCTGGGCCGTGACCACCGGGTGCTGAGGGTGCCTTTACCTGAAGGAAATGCTACTGGACGTGCCTGGAGCTTCCCCTAAGGCTGAGCCTGGCGCTCAAGTGCAGGCCTCGGGCATCTCATGCAAACCCTTCCCTGGGGCTGACCTAAGCCAGGCTGTGCACCCGGCAGGCGGGGCTGCGATGGGTGCGGGGTACCCTCGGCGGGGCAGGCGCAGGGTTAGTCCCGAGCAGGGCGGGAGGTGTGAGTACCTGGAACAGCAAAGCGAGGCGGCAGTCCTGGAGATGGAGGACAGGTCGGAGGAGCGGGAGGAAAAGGGAGAGATTAGAAGGGCTGCGGGTGAGCTGTGTGTGACAACAACTGAAAGAAACCAGCAGGAAACGGGCGACAGCCGGGTCGCTAAGGCAGCACCAGAGACTCCAGCCAACACCCGGCACCCGCAGCTGTAGACCCA